ACAATCACAAAACACATTTCTCACACATACACGTAGATACATACACATACCAATGCCTATGTACAATACATACTAAACTCTATAAATGAAATTCAGTATAATACTCTCACAAATCAAAAATTCACACAAAAAAATTAGTACTAACACACATACTTAATCACACACATACTTAATCAGATTATACCAAACCAGGCTAAATACAATACAATACAATAAACTACACTACTCTTAATTGAGATACAATACGATACAATACAATACAATACAATAAAATACAATAAAATACAAAATCCAGCAATACAATAAGATAACGCATTAATGAAACAAGCCGTTGAATACAAAAACGCAGATACAAAAATTTATACAATACTGAACAATAGCATACAACAAGCTATACAAAACAATATAATACAATACTAAACAACACAACACAACACAACACAATACAATACAATATAATACAATACAATACAATACAATACAATACAATACAATACATTACAATACAATACAATACAATACAATACAGTACAATACAATACTATACAATACAATACAATGCAATACAATACAATGCAATACAATACAATACAATACCAAACAACACAATACAATACCAAACAATACAATACCATGCAATACAATACCATGGAATACAATACAATGCCATGCCATACAATGGCAAACAATACAATACAATAAAATACCCCAGCAAACAAAACAAATACAGTAAGAAAACAATCGAATGGAAATATTGAAAATTGAAAAAGATGATATTTTGCTATGAGCGTAAGCTGTGTTCCGTTAAAATGCACTAATCTACTGGTACAAAAATATCATCTTTGCTTACTTAGGCTCACAGTATTGTAACTATTACTACAACAACTACTAATACTACTACTAATACTACTACTATTACAACAACAACAACAACAACAACAACATCTACTACTACTACTACTACTATTACTACTACTACTACTACTACTACTACTACTACTACTACTACTACTACTACTACTACTACTCAGCCACTACTACTCAGCTACTACTACTCAGCTGCTACTACTAGTAACGTTACTATTACTAACACTACATTTGCCAGATCGGGATGGGTAGTTTTTGCAATAAACTTAAAAAATGACAAATTAATGTAAGCAATGCTAATACATAATCGATCGTTGATCAATGTGTTTTTTCTATTTATAAGTATTAATATTTTTATTATTTTATTATTATTGTTGTTGTTAATATCATTATTATTATTACTAATTTGTTTTACTGCGGTTCTTAATTAACTCACACGAGGAATGCCATTAATACGATCAACATGAGAAAACCATTCAACACACACAGAGAAACACACACAAAAACACATACACACACACATACACACATACACAAATACACACGCACGCACGCACGCACAAACATTCATGTATACTCTAAGAGATTGAATAATTAATTAAACGTGAAATTTATTTACAAACGCAAACAAAAAAAACTTAAAATCAGATTGAAAATGTAAACAAAGAATCAATGATGAAATGATAAAATAGAAAAGAGAGAAAGAGAGAGAGAAAAAAAGAGAAAGAAAGAGAGAGAGAGAGAGAGAGAGAGAGAGAGAGAGAAAGATAGAATAATAAATTGTTAAACACAAAAAAATCGTAAAACGTCCTTTAATTAAAATCTTTTCAAAGAGTGAATTAAAACAATGACATTAACAATGACAGTAACAAAAACATCCCAGCACTGCTAACAAAAAAAATCTTTATAAACAAAACACAACAACAACAAACAACAACAACAAAAATGACAACCACAATAACAAAAACAACACAAACAATAATAATAATACTCACTCCTCTTCATTGAACAGCATATGGCCATCTTTTCTATCTCTCTTTTATTTCTTTCTTTGTCCTCCCTTTCTCTTTCTGTCTGTCTTCTTTCGATCTTTTTTTTCATCCATTTTTTCTTTCATTCATTTAAAATCGAATGTTCGTCTTTCTTTCTCTCTCTCTTTCTCTCTCTCTCTCTCTCTCTCTCTCTCTCTTTAATTACC